AGTCTGTTCCTCCGTCATCTTCGACAGGTAGGACATGGTCAGCCTGAACTGGAGGGAGAGCAGAGCGGGGTGGGGCTTGTGCCTGCAAACCGAAGTACCCCAAAATCCTCCCCAGGTCACACCCCACGGGCCCCTGGTGCAGCCGACAGCACCCCATGGCCTGTTCCTCCAAACCGAAGCACCCCCAAATCCTCCCCAGGTCACACCCCCTGGCCCGTTCCTGCAAACCGAAGCACCCCCAAAATCCTGCCCAGGTCACACTCCATGGGCACCTGGTGCAGCCGATAGCACCCCGCGGCCCGTTCTTGCAAACGGAAGCACCCCCAAATCCTCCCCAGGTCACACCCCACGGGCGCCTGGTGCAGCCGATAGCACCCCGCGGCCCGTTCTTGCAAACGGAAGCACCCCCAAATCCTCCCCAGGTCACACCGCACGGGCGCCTGGTGCAGCCGATATAGCACCCCATGGCCCGTTCCTGCAAACCGAAGCACCCCCAAACCCTCTCCGGTGTTGGAGCCCCAGACGCCGGGGAGGCTGCCCGAGTCCCGAGCGTGGATCCCCAAGCTCCTTCCGGACCAGAGGGCGAGCCCAGGGAAAGGCTGGCGGGACGGGGGTGAAGCCGCAGGGCCCCCCATACCTGAGCCCAGTTGCTGAAAACCTGCCCGTTCCCTCCGTAGGTCACCAGCTCCTGGGGAAACTGGACAAGACACGGTGTCGTCTGAGAGGAGGGTCTGGGAAGGGCCCGCAGCGCCACACAGAGAGGACGGCTGTCACCGGCCACCCCCAGGGGGCCAGGAGGGGACCAGGGACAGCCGCAGCGGCAAGAGCGCTGGCCCAGTGTGTGATGGGGGCCCAGGGCTCAGCTTGAGGTTTGGGTCCCATCTGGGTCTGGGGTCTCTGCTCTGGGGTCAAAGGCCCGAGGAAGGGCCAAGGACGTTTCGCCTCCAGGCAAAGGGGTCAACTCCCAGGAACACACGGCCCCTACGGACCTCGGTGATGCCCCCACCCTGAAGCCACCCTTTCTGAAATGTGGGGATCGGATGGGTCTCGCAGGCTGCCCAAGGTGGCCAGATCCACGTGACCCAGCGTGGTGGCCAGGCTAGAGTGCCATGGCGTCAGCCTCGCTCACAGCGACCTCCAACTCCTGGGCTCAAGCGATCCTCCTGCCTCGGCCTCCCGCGTAGCTGGGACTACAGGCATGCGCCGCCATGCCCGGCTAATTTTTTCTATATATTTTTAGTTGTCC